CGATATCGTAAAAACTGAGAGACTAGTTCGCGTTTAAACAGAACGACAGACAGACGACAGTGGCTAAAACGATTTAGCTCCTCATGCTGATCATTTATATACATATATACTTATTTATATGGTCTCCGACGTTTCCTTTGGGTCTTGCAAACTTCATGGCAAACTTGTGTTCAGGGTAAATAAATTTGAGGTAAAAATAATTTTTAAGCTTAACAAACATGGAGTCATCTATTTGTGCTAGATTGGGATACGTCAACTGCGGCTGGTTGGTGATAGAAAAGTTGTTCTTGAAAGATAGTGTAACCACGTAAGTATAAGTCGTTGGCCAGCGTTTGCTGAGCGCACTTGAGCGTTCACCATCAAACACTAAAGTAGAGAAAAACGACTAACCCTGTTGACTATTCATTTTAATACGTCTAATTTTGGAAAATATGTATAAAGATATAAATTCACTGTTTCATTCATTTTTAAATATATATCAGCAGAAGCAGATATGTCCAGCTGCATTTTAATAAACTTTACTAAGGTATTTGCCATTCGACAAACGTTTATTCCTTCGCTACCATATACTTCTTCTAATTAGTAGCATCACAACAAAGCTTAATGCAAAGTTTTGAAAGTTGCAGCATTAACTTTTTAATTCTTTTTCGTTTGGCAGGATTTAGAACTTAGATGACATATTTGATGCTTCTACAAAAAATAAACTCTCCTTGCAATACACATATTTTTTTAAACATAAAAAGTTTTGATTCACTGCAAACATGCGCGTGTCTAAAATTTTGCAGAGAATCAATTTTCTTCACACAACATTTACTTCACACACCTTTAAGCTTTCAAGTACACAATTTTATTATTTTATAGTCACACACAATTGATAGATGACAGCGCAAAAGTTTAGACAAATTCATTTTCCCAACACACGCGGCAGTTTGTTTGAAAGCCGAGTTACGCTTTACTACCACGTTCAGCTTTTATTGACGCAAATGCCATGACATCTTGAAATCAGGAAAAAAAAGAGAAATCCAAAATTTGAAGTTAAGCTAAAGAGTGTGTCAGCTTATCGTAGACATGCAACGCAGCTTAACAGCTTATTACTTAGTGCGCTAATAATATTATAAATGAACAAATCAATTTAGCAGCTGCGTCAATTCTTTTCTATTATTTAAATTTAAGTAAGCAGATGATTTTCGAAAAAATTTTCTTTTATTTGTTATTAATTCTTGTAGATGAAAATATAAATATTTACATATAAAAAATTTGATATTTTCATTAAATGGATTTTTTGAATGAAATTAAAGCATCTACCTAGAATAGCACTTTGTCAGCTGTTTTGAACTTGATGAAAATTGTTTGAGAGTATAAAATCCTGAAATTGCATGATGCTTCATACCAGCTGAATGGTGACTTAAGTCATGCTATCTATTGAAACAATAAATGATATTTTCTATAATTCAGTTCTGAGTTAGGTCCAGATACCTAAAATAAGGGCTGGAGAGCTCGTGAGAAAAATAACTGATGGCATTAATTTCTGTTTGGCATAATCTTATGTTACGGCGAACTATTATTTTGATTTTATACTCTGAATAGGATAAATAAAGTTTGCCACCTAGTTTCTAACATCCCGAGGAAAATATCAGAGACCCAAAAAAAAAATATACATATATAGATGATCAGCACTCTGTCTGCATATACGCGAATAAACTGAAGGACTAGTTTGTGCGATATCGATCTGAAATTTTGCACAACTCCTCTTCTTTTTTAGAAGTTCTTCAATTGTCAAAACCACCGATATTGCACTACTAAAACAAATAGTTGTAATACAAACTCATCGATCAAAATTAAGTTCTTGTCTGTAATATTTTGTTTTAATGCAGCGTGTTATTGCTTCGGTGCAACCGAAACATATAATTGCAATAACTTGGTAGTTTTTTTTTAAGTGTAAAAGCGACGAATTCATGTTCAACTCGTTGCATAAGAGTTATATCTGCAACTGCAAACTTGATCAGAAGGTCGATTCAGCTGTCTCAAATTAGTTAAATGCTACCTTCTTTGAGAATTCAGTGAGATTATTCAATTTCACACAAGGTAATTATGAAGTGAAAATGGTTGAAATTTGTTTATACATTTTCAGACCCCAACTTTTTATTTCTCAGAGTCAACGTATAGCGACTTTAATAGAAAACATATTATAAAATATTGGCTTTAATCATAACATAGACTAATCTAATTAATTTTTCTTTAAGTACTTCCTTACTTTATTTTAAGGAGAGACTATATGAACCTTCGTATAGTGTAGACAAACATTTACTATATTATATTGTTTATATTGAAAAATTATTTTCAAATAGATTATGCCATCAGTTAATTGTTTAACCCGCACAGCTTTCTATAACTATTTTATAGCGTATTTTATAGCTATAGCAGTGACCCTTAACAGGTTAGGCGTGCACTTCAATCCATCAACATGCGCCGGATGTTAGCTTTCTTTGTTGTTGCTAAAATTGTTTGTGTTCTAAAATTTATATATTGCGTCGCTTTAATATCTTTAGACAGCTTTTTTTGATGCAGTCAACTGTGATTTATGATATATTGGCCACTGCAATTCGGTGTTTTACTGCTTTTATGCCATCACTCAAGCGGGCATGTCTTCAGTTTGTTGAAAACTCTGCACCGCTATTGTGTTTATTGTTGTTGACAATATAAAGTATTCCCTTTGATAACATATATACCATATATGTATGCAAAAATGTCGGTTTTTACATTTTAATGCCGGCCATATAAACTGATATATATTTTACTTACAAGCGAGCATATGTATGTTTATGTTGTATATATGGTATACAGCTTTGTGTTTTGCTGCCCCACACACCATTTCGTGGCAGCAGCTTTCATTCAACCACTGACTGCTGTGACTCAAAATCGTCTTCTCACTCAGCTATTTGTTATTTATTTTTTAGCTTTTATACTGCATATATAAATTTTTCATTTTTCAATCTCTTAGCATCTCGATAAGCACGTGCTGGAAATTTGTCACTCCAAATCGCTACAGTAAGCAGCCCTGCCATGTATGTATGTACACACTTCGAACGGCACATAAAAGGCACTCGGAATTTTTCAGCTTAAGTGGCTGAGTTGAAAATGCTTTGTGGTTCACCATTAATGTGTGCATTCAATTTGTTTACAGAAGATTTTACAAGGATGAAAAATATAGATGTAATGATACCGATATTTTTTGTAGCTTATTTAAAGAAAACATCAAAGCCGGAGAAATACTCTTATAATTTTTAAGGAGGCTTGTCGCTTTAATTTGGAAAATAATTATTACAAATCTGATCTGGGCTGATTTCACTAACTCTTGACATAGCTCAGGTATATTCAAGAACATAATTTCAAGCAATTTTACAAATGTATACAATAGCTCATACACTGACCGACATATTCAGCGTAGCGTAGCACTGCGGCATAAAAATGTCAGATTGCACCTAAATGTGGTCGATGCTGTGCCCATCTAAAAGAGAATAGACCATAGACAAAAGAAAGAGTACTTGTAATTGGGAGCACTTGTGACTATAATTCGCTCAGTTTAATATGTTGCAATGGGTGGTAACTTAATTCCAAACTATCTATCCATAACCTATTAGTGCCCTTATTTTGTAGTGAGCAACGATTAACCCAATTTCTTCCAAATAGAGACAGTTAATCACCAATGTAAGTTTCAAGCAGACGAATGCCAAAAAACGACCTAACTAAAATCAACTGCAGTATTTTATTCTATATTTATTATTATCTATAAGTATCTATAAAATCCAATTACTTGAAACTCAGTGACTAAACTGGCTTTATGTAACATTAATGCAGTTTTGTTGATCACTTTTTCGTGGTTTGGCTCCGGCTCTCCTCTTCTAATTTTGCTTTTTAGAATAGTATGGTTTTAAACAGATATGACTTTATTTAACGTATTGCGCAATAAACATCACTATACGCAAGGCTTCAAGCAATGCCACAAAAAATCGAACGTCATTAGATCTAAGTGATCAATTGACATATCCACGCGGCATTACAATATGTTCACTAAACTGCCAGCGTATGAAAACAATAGTGTCGTGAGCTATGTGAAATCAAGCTCCAATAAACAACGTACACCCATGGTGCCTTTTCGGATAGCGCAAAATATTTTTATTTATTTGTGTAGCGCTTACCACTGACTAAATGGGACCATTCCTGCCATGGTGGAATCTTATGTAGTTAGCAAGTTAATTTTTTCGCGTAAAGCGTGAAATATTCCTTTTTGTTATGCGGTAATTTGTTGCCGCATTCACACTCATGTTGATTATTACATTGTAAAATTGCCTTGCATTTATTACGAGAAAACACAGGTTCTTGTGCAATATGGCTATTAAACGGTGCATTAAACTGAATTATTCAAACTTACCTTACTCCTTCAGGCAATTCAATTTTAAGGCGCTCATACGAAACTAACACTTCGAAAATAACGGACGCATTCAGCTGGAAAATGCCAAGAGAAGAAGTAGAAAATAAAACATTTAAATGTGTATCGTTCTATTTTACCTTATATAGCCATGAAATATTTAGCTTTATCACATTTGTATTGCCTTTAATAGTGTGTGAAATTTGCTAGTATACATATGTATATGCATGTATGTATACCATGTATGGCGTATACGCAATGGTCTGTGGTGCGGAAATAAAGAAATAAACATAAATTTTGCATACTTGCAATTTCCCTTTCTCACACTTTTCTATGCCTTTGAATTTGTTTTTTATGTGTTATACACTCTTTTATTATACTAACGTCTATTTCCGCTACTTTTACTGGCGTATTTATTTATTATTATTACATAAATATACCGACAATTGTTTTTTATATGACCTTGCATGTTTTTTTCTATTCTGTTCTCCCAGAAAATATTTCGTTTATAATAAAATGTGAATTTTATTTGGTTTTTTTTATTTAACTTTCTTTTATATTTTGCTTGCAGCTATCAGGACATCTTGAAAATACCAATATCATTTCCCCAATTTTCAACTCCATTGGGTCCAATTGTCGATGGCCATGTGATACCAAATCAGCCATACAAAGTGATGGGACAATACACTGAGCACTTCAGTCGGTTTGTAATATTTTGGCTTTCCTCTTCAATCTTTTAAGTTATATTACTTCGCTGAATTACATATTATATTATTGGTAGTTCTGTTAGCTATTGTTAAATTGTTGAGGCGTATAAGATGTTGATCAGAAGTTCACTTAAGCAACAGTGAGCAGATGCATAGTAACAATATTTTTTATTTGCAGAACAAGTGCTGTCAATATTGTCAATAAGTATTAACTTTTTTATTTTTATTTATTTATTTATTTTTTATTTTTTTTGTGAGCTGATTCAAAGCACTCCAAAGTGCTAATTGATCCCTTAGGTTGAGTACTGAAATTCAGTTCTTAATTTTGGTGCCACAACAACACCAATGTTTACGACTGAAGAAAGGAATTTATATTTTCAAACTAAAAAAGACACTATCGTCTCACTACCATTACATTGTGAAGGAATAGGCGCTACCCTGTCTTCATGCGGAAATGAAATAAAATGACATACAAATATTGGATTTTTCTTAAAGTTTTTGGTTTTCAGTCCTCTTAAAATCCATTCCTGAATTTTCTAAATTGTTAAAAGATTATAGTAAATGATCTATATGATTTATAATATACGAAGGGCGTCAATATGTTGAAGTTTTAAATTTAAGTAATTTTCCAATTAATTAGCAGATATAATCCTTTCGGTATCTACACATATATTTACACTTACCTATTTGCTTTTATTGAGCTAACCATAGAGCATACAATAATAAGATATATTTAAGAAGTATACGCACATATGTTACTAATTAGCAATTATATACCTTTCAATGAATAAATAACTAATTAAAATATACAAAGCAGTTCCAGTAAACAGCGAACAATTAGCGAAACTAATCAGTTGTGTATTGTTCGTATTTATGCTGTTATTAACGGGAAAGCGCTTAGCAGCGCAGTCAACTGCGTACTTCAATATATAGGGTGATCCATTTCGAGGATTCCTACTTTTTTTATTTAAAGGAACAACGCAGTAAATTTAAATTTAATGGGGAATGTTTATTATCATTTGAAATTACATTATTTGGCATTTATTTTTTGAAGATTATCTATTAGACCTGAATCGAAGCGGGATTGTCCGCATTGACTTTAAACTTTACATATCCCCACAAGAAAAAGTCTAACGATGTGATATCTTAGCGGCCAATCGGTCGACGAAAAATGTGAAATTATCTGCTCACCGAAGTGTTCGGTCGATATATTCACTAAATAATGCGATGTGTGGGAAAAACCGTGGTTTTTTCTTAAATGAAATGGCAGCTCTTGAATCTCTTCAGGTTGCTCTTCATCTTAAATGCGCCAATTTTTCTTGTTGACATACCCATTGAGCCAAAAAAGTCGGATCTTCTTGGAACTTTTCAAAAGCCCACAAAGCAAAGCGATGTCGCTTAGGAAAGTCGAGCGGCTTCAGTTGTTCTTGTACTAGCCATATTTTGTATGCTTTCAATTAAATATATCGACGTCGAATGCGCCAAGGCGTTCCATACGTCAGCGAATGGCTGATGATTAAATGCCAGACAATACTAAACAAACTTTTTGGATCACTCAATATATGTATGTATACATACTCCTTTATCTTATAAATGTAGGCGGCGCACACCAAAACGCTAGCTTACTCAGAACAATGGTGATGAAGTTTTCGTTTGAAATTAAGTAGTTGGCTTGTGCCAAAGAAATAACTATCACAATTGGATTAACAAAAACTTAGCAAAATTTACCGCTTCCATTATTTGCTACTAACAGCAACGCCTGTGTATTAGCTCAAAAACCGCAGCGAACAAGCTACGTTGAGGTAAACAAGAGATGTGTAAGAAAATACCAACGCTCACACATGCATACATAGCTCTAGGTAAATATGTATGCATGTGGTTTTGTGTACCAATGTATACTTGTATGATGTAATTAAAACGTAATGTTGTTGCGCTTATACAATGCGATTTGATCAAAGTTCATTGTGGCTTTGCGGTTGCGCTTAGGCTCACGGTTGTATTATGGTTGCGGGTACCACGTTTGTAGTTGTTGTGATTTGTAATTACCTTACTTATTTATGCACATAGACATAACTGTAATCAATACTTATATTACAATACATGCATACTTATAAAATACACAAAATATTGTATATGTATCTCTTAATAATGTATTTAACACGAAGCAGCTTTATTCACATACCACCGCAGACAAGTGTGCTGAAGCTGTATTGCAAGCGTTATTATTTACATGTATATTGTACAAACTTAAATACAGCATCTATATACATACAAATATACTTATACGTACACTATACATATTCATATACATTAGGCTCTCCGATATTTCCTACAAGTAAGTTGATTTTTTTGCGCAAGCTCCTTCGAGGTTTCAGTTTTTGACCAAAAAATCATTGAGACTTCTTTTATAGAGTGGAAAAATGGAAATGAAATATGATTTAGCCATGATTTAAATTGAAAATAAAGAGCTAGTTTACGTTGGATTCGGTTTTCACGGCAAAAACTAAAACTTAATGAGCGTTCGCAAAAAAAAAAAAAAAATCGACTTGGAAAATAACGGACACCCTAATATACAGATACCTACATATATAGATGTAGATATGCATATACTCGTACACTTATGCATTCTGTCGCTATTGGTTTATACATTTTAGCTATGATTTATTATTTGGCGTCACCGAGTCCGAATCGTATCACACGCTGGGCGCATTAGCACTCGAAGAAGGATTACGTGAAAATGAGCGCGATAATTTATTGCGTTTCTATATGCAGAGTCGTTTTGATGTTCGACCCGATCTGGCATTGGCTGCCACGCTCAAGAAGTAAGTAAAATTTATTGAATTTATGATTACATTCTCCCATAGCTATGCTACAGGTTTGAGTTGGTGCATAAATGGGCGCGCCACAACATTCCTACCAAATAACGTGAACAGGAAGCTCAGCCATTATCAAACTATCAAAACTAGGTGTATGCTGGGGATAGTCGTTTTTGTGTATGCAATTTTGTTTTAGAAAAACTAAAATTATAAAATATGGTCTGAAATAGCTGTTATATTATGTGTTTATGTAAAAATTGCAACCAGTCTTTCGTACACATATTGATAACACTTGAAAGCTAAAAAGCGAAAGAACAAAAAGTTTGACATATTCAGGTAAATACAAAATTTTAACTAATATAAAAGCCAACTGTTTTGACAAAGTGTTTCTTAAAAATTTAAAAAAAAGTTGTATGTTTGTATTAGAAAGGGGTATTAATATTCATAACGATACACTTTACCCGTAAGCGCTATTTTTAAATTGAAATAAAACAGAGTTGCAACGTGTTTGAACAAAAATTAATTTGAAAATTAGTAAGTCGTTGAAAACAAAAATTATAAAGGCGTAGCAATATTTAAAAACTCAAACTATAAATGGGTAATAATATTTAAAAAGTAATGTTTAGCTAAACAATTTAATTAATAATAGTATATATAAATAAAAACTTTAAATATGTTGCCGCCTTCAAGTCTTTAAACAGCTAGATCATATATACAAGTAGGTTAACTATAAAAGCGGTATTACATATACATTTTTATGTGCAGTATAACGTTTATAAAATCTTGAAATACTAAAATGGAACACTTAACCATGGAATGCGCCATATTTATAAGCCTTTAGCGCTTGTTGAATAGCGAAGCTTTCGTTGTGCCCGTCAACGGCTTTTAAGCCGTTTATATCAATTTATTTTTAATACGTAGTTAGCCTTAAGGCCGTTTGCTTTTGTAATAACGGTTTCTTGTTAGCTTTGCTTGCTGCTTTTAACATCAGCTCAATTCATTTTATTTTTTTTTTTTTGCCACTACAAAAGTCAATGAAGCGCATGTGAGTAATTGCATTTGTTGAATAAAGTTGTTGCCACATTACCACACGCACAAATGTTTCAACTCACATACATACATGCGTGCACACAAAAGCACATTTGTAAATATGTATGCTTGTTGCTGGAAGCAAAAGTTGTGTTGCAAAGCCAAAAGTTTTATTGAAAATGCTTCGGCAGCACAAAACCGACAGCGATGAGCGCATATAAAAGCGGAAGTTAGCATGGCAAGTAAGCGTAATTTAGTATTTTTTAAGTGCAATAACCGATCCAATCATACGCTTACAGTTAAGGCCAAAAATAAGATGCCACATCTATGCTACGCCGATATTGGCAAAATTAATTGCGATAGTTTCAAGCCTAAAAAGTTGTTTAATAAATGCCACAGTGTACAAAAGGTTTTTGAACTCTGCAAACTGCCTGCCAGAGCGTAAAATTCACAACATGCATATAGTCGTATCTATATATTGTATGCATGTGTGCTGGTAAACGTTACCTTGTGCGCTTAGTAGGTCAAGAGTTATTGATTTTTTTTGCAATAGTTTCATAACGCAATTATGATAAAGTTCATTATGGAATATTGCTTATGGCTTAAAGATGACGTAGGTACGACCGAAAATAATACCACAAAAAATCAAAATTTAATTTTTATAAAATATAAGTATACAAAGTGCCATCAAAATGCAATTTCATTTTTTATTGATTTCATTATATATAATATCACTTGAGTGAATTCAAAAAATTATGAGCCTACCTGTCTGTTTGAATATTTTGAATAAAAAAATGCAATAAGATATAAAAAAAATATATATAAAAAGAAAAGTTTACGTATAGCTTACATTAAAGTATATTTTCAAAGAATGTTGCCAGCTGTATACAAATTTAAATTCAATCATTTTATGTAATATCAAACTGAAATTATTTAATAAAAAGATTAGAAATTATGGGAACCGAAAATATTATGAAAAGGGTTGCCACCTTAATATTTTTTTAAAATTGAATAAATTAATAAAAGATTAAAAATAATGAGAGCTGCAAATATTATTAAAAAGGTTGCCACCTTTAAAATTTTTTTAATGAAATAAATTAATAAAACATGCAAAATAGTTTTCCAGGTTTATTTAGATATTTCTATTTGCGAGTAGGGTTGCCAACTGGTTAAACTTTTTATGAAAACAAACTTACCCTAGACACTTATTTTAAACAGGGTTAAAACTTATTTAGCCTTTGACATGGATTGGGATTAGATGCAAATTTAATGGATGGTATGCACCGTACACTTAATAAATAAAAAATTTTGTCAGTAACCTACATATATTCTATAATGGTCCAATATCGACTGAAAAAGGCACAGTTTCTTGCAAAAAAAAATGGAAGTGTGTAAAATTTCAGATTGATATGCCAAAAGCTAAGAGACTAGCTCGTTTATAGAGAGATGGACAGACAGAGTTTCTAAAAGCTACAAGTTTATTTCTACAACATTCAGCTCCCAAAGTGGTCCATTTAACTTCAATGATTACTATATTAACTACTAATTGGATTATCCTAGTAATAGATTCTAGACAAGGTTCATAATACAAGTAGAAGAAGAGGATGGTGTCGTTCTTGGTAAAATGACGAAGTGAAGGAGAATAAAGAATGAATGAGATGCAGGTTACTAAAATAAACCACTATAACACAACATTTATAGGTAGCTCTATATTAAACACTAAAAGAAACGCTTTTAAACTTTAAACTCAAATTCTACTTTCCCTTCACTAAACAGCTCTATAACACTGTGCAAAATGGCTTCCTTTTTAACATTTGAATTATGCTTGAAATCACTAGCTACAATTCAATTACATGCAAATGATTTAGTGTCTCGAATAGCTTATAACTTGGTACTTATAGCACATATTGCAAATATATGTATGTATGGACAAGCACCACGTACGCTTTCTCCATCAAGCGTACATCCGTCGAGTATGCAGAGAATGTTTAACAACAACGCTGGTGATTTTGCGACCATATCCCCGATTATGCCAGCTGCAGTTAGCACTTGTGTTTGATGTGTTTACCACTACGTACTCGTAGAGTGATCGAATTTGATGGGTGAGGACACGAGCAAAAAGACCAACAATAAAACTTTCAAGCACACATACGTGCATGCCAATGTAAAATGTATGCACATATGTTACGACAGGGCATAAGGGCGATCCCTTAAGGGTAATGCGCAAAATTTTGCAAAACGTTTGTGTGATGTTCACATTTTAAAGCCACTTAGAATTCATTTCCAACTCGATGCTTTGCCCCTATACGGAGATGGAACACAAAAGCATATGCACAGCTATTACTGTAAATGACCCTCAACTCGGAAACATGCATCTAAATTTGTCTCCTAGTTTATAAACAGTGGTGCATTGATAGGTCAGTAAGTTTTTGGAGTCCGTATAATTATTTTTTTATTAACATTTTGGATTATAATCAGTTATAGTTTTGCATTAGAAACTCTCCCTTCTATAGTAAGCGAAAAGACAAACAAAATAAAGTAGTATTTTGAATTATATTATATTTGTATACCGAGAAATATATTGCTTAAAAAAATTCTCCAATTTCAAAAATGTGAGCAGATTAAAAAAGGCTGCCATAACAAAATTCTCCGACAAAATCTTACAAGTGGCTAAAAGTTAACATTCAGATTTATTTTAGATATGTTTAAATTTATGAAAATTGCTCTTACAGTTCAATTCGAAATCCAATCTAAACCTTTCTGAGTAGACCGTTGATAGACGCAACTATCACTTGTCCGACTCTGTCGAATGACTAAAATTAATTGATCACTTGAAAGAGGTAATGGCGAAAACCGGACACTTTGGATATGCAAAAAGCATCATCAGGATACAGGGTGTATCTGTACTATATAAGAAAAAGCTTACAAATTTGCCTGAATTGGGGCTTGAATGGCTGAAACATCTTATGTTTTTCCTTCGTATTTACATTTTGAAAAAAGCAATAGTAGTGAAATATTTGGGTAAAGGTCTTTTCCAGTATATATGACAGATTTTACTACCTGAAAATATCTCTTTCTTACTATTGTAAATTCAAAAAAATTTAAATTACAGCTCAGCATTTTATTCGAGTCGAGATATTCAAAATGTTTAGAAAAATACTTAATTTGTTAGTAAGCTATGTTAAGCAACAAAATACAGTTTTTCTTCACAAACCACAGACTGGTCGCACATTTCTCGTCGCATAACTCATAAATGCGTTTGTATTGGTGTGTATTTTATCAAAAGTGCATGGCTTCAGAGCAGCGCTAAACTTTTATATTTCTATATTTCCGCACATATTTTTTCAACAGCTCAGCCAATATTATACATGTCTACATGTATATATGGTACACATGTACATCTGTGGATATGTGGACGGTTTTTCGTAAAATTATGTCAACATGTTGCCAGCTATTCGTCAACTGCCAGACAAGAAAAAACCGTTCAAACGAACCGTCCTCTAATAATTTAGGACAAGGGTAGAGCTGCAGGGTAAACGGCAAGCTGAAAGAATGAAAAAGCATTGCGAACCCTACAACGGGCAGAATGAGTCTCTGCCTTGGACCAAGTGATGTCAGCTGTGCCACACATACATACGTAACATTGCACAAATGCTTGCGGCAGCGAGCTCAAAGCGAGCGCTATGAGATAATCTGCTGGTTGTGCATTTGGAGCACTTTAAGCTGGCTGGTCGAATGGCTGCTTACCGCTTTGCTGGCCGCATAGATAGATGGCTAGATGGATGGATGGCTTGCTGGCTGGTTGCATAGCTGTATGAATGCCTGGTTCTATGCTTGAGAACGAGCTCTCAAGTGTGTTTGTAAGTGTTTGGAGAATTTACGAATGCATGCATGTTACGGTGGAGATGCTCACTGCATAACGGCATCAGTTTTCAATGACAATATTCACACATACGCATACATAAAAATGTACATAG